TCTGCTAATGTTTTTCCTCCTTCTGGCCCAAGATTATTATTACCAAGATTCAAAGAAATTAGTGCGGTATTCTCGCAAAGTGCATCTGATAATGCTTTTGCTCCTTCTGGTCCAAGATCATTGCTGCAAAGATTCAAAGATGTAAGTGTAGTATTCTTGCAAAGTGCATTTGCTAAAGCTTTTCCTGCTTCTGATCCAAAATTATTAGGGTCAGCATACTTATTTCCACCAACACTCAAATTTTTTAACGTAGTGTTCACGCAAAGTGCATTTGCCAATGCTTTTCCAACGTCTGGTCCAAGACTATTATTACTAAGATTCAGAAAAGTCAGTGAAGTGTTTTTGCAAAGTGCATCTGCTAATGGTTTTCCTCCTTCCGGTCCAAGTCTACTCAGTTCAACATCCAAAAACGTCAGAGTAGTATTGTTACAAAGTACATTTGCTAATGCTTTCGCGACGTCTGGTTTAATATGATTATTATTAATATTTAAAGAAGTCAGAGCAGTGTTATTGCAAAGTGCATTTGCTAATGCTTTTCCTCCTTCTAATCCAATTTTAGTGTATGACAGAGTCAATGAAGTTAGAGTAATGTTCTTACAAAGTGCATCTGCTAATACTTTTGCTTCGTCTGGACTAAGATAATTATTATCAAGTTTTAAAGAAGTCAACGTGGTATTATTTTGAAGTGCACCTTCTAATGTTTTTTTATTAGCTGTATAATTAAGTGTTAAATGGTTAAGATTTTTACTTGTACGCAGAAACATTGCGATTAAAGAGCATTCTATAGCATTTGCAAGTATATCATTTTCATCGAAATAATCTACATCATATCCTTCATTTTCAAGCCAAATTTTGACACCGGTGGACAGCTTCGAACCAACAGATTTAATATAACTTCCATACTCAAATAATGGCTTTTGATAATTTGAAAGAATAATTTTAAAGGGAATCAATAGAGCTTGCTCTTCAGCATTTAATGCTAAGAGTTATATTCTTATAAGTCTTTTATCGTCGAAATAATTTGTAGGCTCACTCCATAATATTGGTACAGTAAGCCTACACCATAGACGGTTTACAAGAAGGCACGAAAATAAGGTTTTATAATCAGTTCGAAAATAATTAAATATTATATCAAGGCATTGGTTCGGTAATGCTATCATTTTGGAAGAATTATGAATTTAGTTTAACTTAAACAAATGGATTTTGCTTCCGGTATATATGAATTTAATTTAACTTAAAAAATGATTCCGGTATATATAACCAACGTAAAATGTCGTGAATCGTTACATCTAGTGGCAGGAATCAATTCTACGTACGTACGTACGTACGGTACAGGAAATCTAAAAACCTTAATCACTTTATACAGAAATAAAGGTCAACTAAAATGGGATGTTGATCTAAATACGCCATTCTTAATAGGTTTATCTCAGTATGTATAGTATAGTTACTCTTTAGTACAGATTATTATTTTTGGCATATTTTCTTTATACAAAGAGATTCTAGACCATTAATTTAGATCGATAATTTAAGACATTCATTTTCAATTCCAATATAGGAAGATTAGGGTTTTTAAATTTCTTGCACCGTACATGCGTACGTACGTACAGGGTTGTAAAATTACCGTAATTTACTAAAACTTATAGCCAAGATTATACATATGATCGGCCAAGATTATACATATGATCGACCAAAGATTATAATATGATTAGCCAAGATTTAATAGAAAAGTTGACTATACATATAAAGTTAATGCCAGCCAACATTAAGCTTAATTCCGCAGTAATTAGTAACTTACGGTAATTTACCAATAACTTACTATCAGTAAGTTTACATTTACAACCCTGCGTACGTACGTGCGTACGTGCGTAGCTGCCCACCAATTTTGTCACTCGATTTTGATTGACTAACAGTCGTGATATACAAAATTTTGACCCGCATTACATAATTGTTTATATAATTTTCGGCTGAAATTAACTTTTTTAGAGAAATAGGTTCGCACAATGACAAAATTAGCCCAGGAACATTTTTCACTTAATGGGCGGATGTGATTCATTAGTAAAAGTTTAAGTAACTTCGGCCTAAATTTTTTATCGTCGCAATTTTGGTGCTCCAATCACTTATAAAGATCTGTGATATGATCACTATGATCTCTATGAGCACGCTATCCGATAAAATGTAAGATTTTGCATACACGCCATTAAATTCATGACCATGTTTCTGGTATTTTATGTTTTTATATACATAATAAAAAAAAATAACAACAAACGTAATGACACCGACAAACACCACAACTCATAACAAAGCGCTAACAACAACGAAATAGTCTTAAAAAACAATAAACTATCAAAACCAACGACATCAATTTCGCTATTCTGATATCGACAATTCTAACGGCAAAAACATCTGAAAAAAAGAAAATGTTAGTACATAAAACAAAAGAATCAAACACGGCGATTTCAAAAATGAAAGATTATACTAACTTTGACGGCAATCCCACGGTTCTAACGATTATGATGACAAAATCATGCAAAAAAAAAAAAGATAATTTAAAATAAATAAATAAAAACTGATGAGATGACACCAAAACCGTAAAGTTATACTAACTCCAACGATGAAGATTTCAAGGTCTTAACGGCAACGAATCAGCGACGAAATCACATCTGAAAAAACGAGCGTTAGCAAAGAAAAAAAAAACACAAAGTAAAGAATCCAAGCAGGAAATTATATCTACCCACGATTCCAATGGTAATGACTTCGACGACGACGACGTAGCACAACTAGAAACAAAAAAAGTTAGTAAAAAAAATAAAAAAAAAAGAATACAAAACAGGAACTCCAAAAACAAACTAATTACGATTCCAGTGGTAACGATACCAACGACGAAATGACAGCTAGAAAAACAAGACGTAAGGTGAAAAAAAGGAATTACAAAGCAGTCTCCAGAAGCAAAAACTTATACCTACCTCACAGTTCAAGCGGTAACGAAACCAACGACGAAATTACAGCTAAAAAAAAAAAGAAAACGTTAGTAAAGAAGAAAGATAGAAACAAGAAACTCTAAAAGCAAAACCTAATTACACCTACTTCAAGGCTCTAATGGAACGACTCCAAAGTAACGACACCATAAACATACTCCAAGCAATCATGCTTCCTTTTTTTATTTTGTTCGCACGCACACTGCAATTGAACAAGGTTTTGGCAAAATCCTTGCTCAATATTTGTCGTCTTTGCTTCTACTGCTCAAAGAATATTCTCATCTTTCTTAATGGTATACGTAGTCAAGTTTGCCTTTACCATTAATTCCGGACAAGAACAATTCTCTACGCATTTATACGTCGTCTAAAGTGGATATAGCGCCATATAAAAGAGCAAAGATGAATTCACATCTCTCTGCTTCGTTGCATCCATCGATAGAGCCCGATTAATCTAAAATCGTCTTTAAAAAAGAAAAATTTACATTATATATGTAATACAAAATAAATTTACTCAAAAGCTAGTTCTAATTTAAAACCGAGAAATCAAACCTAGACTAGCTGCACAGAAAAGTTTATCATCTTATCAAACTGTACTATATCTTCCGTCGAAGCTAGTAAAAGTATTTAAAAAATTGCGTTTTTTTTTACGAGATAAAATTGCTTAGTAAACATTAATAAACCGCACTTTTAATTTTTAAACAAATTCTTATCGCATGAACAACAGTTCCGATCACATGAGTCTAGCCTAATTTAGTTCGAATTGTGTCGATCAGTGTCGATCAATGTTTTGATCAAAAAAACGTCATTTTGATCAGATCAGATCTAAAATTCCCATTCTATTACCAGAAAGAGTTTTCTTCGTACAGAAAACTATCCCAACTTGAGTCAATATTTGGGATTTGCGCTGCCAAAATTAAGAAGAGTGTGTCATGTTAATAATACCTTAAAAGATAAAGCAAAACCTTCTCATGGTTAGAACTTTGTAATATATTTAAGTAATTTATAGTTTGTTTAATTCATTTCATTTAATAATTTTTAAATACTTCTACTAGCTTCAGCGGAAGGTATAGAACAATTTGAAAAGGAGATAAATTTTGCGGTCCAACAAGTCAAGGTTTGATTTCTCGGTTTTAAATTAGAACCAGATTTTGAGTAAATTTCTTTTGTGTTAAATATATGGCGTAACTAATTTCTAAGATAATTTTTCTTTTTTAAAGATCACCTTGGATAGGACGGGATCAATCGACGAATGCAACGAAGCAGAGAGATGTGAATTCATCTCTGCCATTTCATATGGTGCTCTTTTTAAGTTACTTGCACTTTTAATAAAGGTTATAAAGGAGATAATTGCGGTCTGATTGTGTAAACGAGTTAATCAAGGCACTTTGTAAGAACTCTACCTTAACGACATTGAATCTTCGATCGAATGATCTTGGATCAGACGTCGGAAAAGCATTAGCTGATGCTCTTTGCAAGAACACTACCTTAACGACATTGAATCTTACTTCGAATAATCTTGGACCAGAAAGAGGAGATTGTGGTAAAACCGTTTAAATCAGTCCGGTAAATCTTAAGATATTGATAAAAATGTTTTTTTTATATAAAATTTCTTTGCAATTTTGTTCTGATCGCAAAGACATTTTATCATTATTTTACAACTTTGATTATAAATATAGCTACTTTCACTTAATAAAAAATTTTTTTATTATAGCAAGTTTTTTCAGTTTCCAGTGTCTTAATACGAAAATTGTGCGATCTTATCTCTACCAAGACCATTGGATGTCATCGAAGGACCATTGATAGTATTATTGGTGATTTGTTTGGTGCAGGTTTGTTAACTTTCATGTAATAAAATCAAACTATTTTACGTATCAACACTTAAGCCTTTTTTTTCTTTTGTTATACATAGTCAAAATGTTTTTTTGCCTCGAGTAATTAAATCCGCACGGCAAACCCTTTATCTAAACGTGAAAACGTTATTGATTGTATAAGTTTTGATATTTTTGCTTCATCTTTGCCAGTGTTATGAAGAAAGCCGTTGCACATTTAATCTTATTTATGGAAGTCAAACGTCAAGCTAAGTTTGCAGCTAACGGAGGTGAAGGAATAGATACTAGTCCACAACATGCTGGTGTTGTAGTTTTAGCTACAGTGATGGAGATGTTCATTATAATGGCAAAAACATAGCTTGTGTCGTACTTGGTTTTAATAATTATAAGGTAAATTTTTTTTCGGTTTTGTTTTTAAGATCGTTTTAATGTGATTTTGATTTTTTTGAAGGTTATAGATTTATGTGTGATGACTCCATGCGAAAAAATTATTGAAACTGCTCTTAATGAGAAAGCAGATATTATTGGTCTGTCAGAATTGATTACACCATTCTTAGATGAAATGATACATGTTGCTAAAGAAATGGCTTAAATGTAAGTGTCTTTATTATCATATTTTATTTTTATTTACACTTATGTTTTGTTAATTTTATCAATTATGAACGTTACAGATTCCATTATTGATTGGTGCTACAACATTCAAGGCTCATACAGCTGTAAAATTTCACCAAGATATACCCAACCAACAATCCAGGTATTAGATGCTTCAAGTAGTGTTGTTGTGGTAACATATTTTCGGCATTTCTTTTTAACATCAGTTCAACACAATCTGCTAATAATAAGCCTTAAATCAGGTATCAAGTCTTTTAGATGCCAAGTTGAAAGATGACTTTTGGGAAGATATAGCAGAAGAATATGAAGAAATTCGTAAAGACCATTATTCTTCATTAAAAGAGAAAAGGCATTTACCATTAAAAGCCGCTATATAGCAACGATTTAAGATAGATTGGAAAACCCAAGCATCACCAGTAAAGCCGTCGTTCATTGGGAAGAAAAATGATTAATGAATATGATATGAAATTCCAAATTTGGTAAGATATTTTACTGGAATAAATTTGGATGAAATTTGGATGAAATTTGGAAAGGTAAATTAATTCTTAATGAATATTCTTTGTGAATTAGGCAATTACGTGGAAGATATCCCAATCGTGGTTTTCCAAAGATTTTTAACGATAAGCATGTTGGTAAGTATTATTATTAGCATGAGACTAAGATCAATATCAATTTAATTTGATGCTTACATTTCGTTACATGGATGAACTTAGGCGCGGAAGCAAAAAATTTATACGAAGAAGCATAAAAAGATTATTGATGAAAAGTTGTTTGTTGCTAAGGGAATTGTGGGACTTTACCCCGGTATGGCCTCATACATAAATAGTTATGTAAATTTTCTTATAAATTATTGACTATTTGAATTTTTTATGTAGCCTATGTTGTGGATGATGATATCCAAGTATGTTGATTTAAGCAATTTATTGTATATCTTTATGTGACTTTCTATCTTGTAACAAAATTTTAATTTCTTAGGTTTATGAGGATGAATCACGTTCTAAAGTCTCTGCAACGTTCTTTGGTTTAAGGTATATTCGTGTTTGTTAAAATGAATGCTAAGCTTGTTTTTTTTATCGATAGTATCTAATATATTCTTTAATAAATAGACAATCTCAAAAAGAAACTGGCGATCCATACTTTTGTCTTTCCGATTTTATTGCGCCTAAAGATTCTGGCATACCAGATTATCTAGGCTTATTTGCTGTAGGAATATTTGGAGCTGAAGAATTGTGCCAAAAATTCCAGGAAGATCACAATGATTATAATGTAATCATGACAAAAGCAATTGCAGATAGATTTGCGGAAGGAGGGATTTAGTCCAAATGAAGACTTATCATTAGGAGATATGTTAAGTGTTAAATATCAGGGAATTCATATCCGCACAATCTGACCATCGTGAAAAAATCACAATGTGGAAGTTGATGAACGTTTTTGAAGAAACTGGAATTGAGTTGACCGATGGATTAGCTATGTTACCTGCCGCTAGCGTATCAGGTATATTTGACTATTACCTAAATATTTGGATATTACTTTATATGCTACAAAACTTTTTTATTCCGTAATTGCAGCTTTAGTATTCGCAAATCCTGAATCGCAGTATTTGCAGTTGGAAAAATTGAAAAAGATTAGGTTAATAAATACTATAATTGTTGTTGGAAATCTAGATGATGTTGAGATTTGGAAAAAAAAATAAGCTGTTTTAACCAGTAAAATGTTCGGGAAAACGTGCACAATGTTCATTGAACATATTGTGTACATACATTTCAACATAACCAGACAAAAATCTAATAGCAAACTAAATTTATATAATAAAGGCGGCAAAATTCAAATTGCATTAACAACATCAATGACATATCCAAGATGATGTATAGCCTTCCAAATTGCCATAAGACCAATTGTACATCCTATTAAAGCTTTAACTCATAAAATACCAGTCTGATTTTTTTTAATTTAAAATTTTAGTATACATGATTCAGGGTTCAGTAAATGCAATTTTCCTAAAAATGACGGAAGTTTTTCGATCCATTATATCTTTGAAAGAGCTTGAGAACCCGACTTATAGAAGATCTGTTAACATATAAGCGTATGGTAATTATTTGCCAGTGAAATTGCTTTGAAAGGATAATATTTCTGTATTCAAACAGAGATGTATTTACGTACAACGTACTAGTCTTATAATATTTACAGTATACAGTATTAGTCACCAGATCTTAAATTATGTGCTGCATATCAATTTGAATCAATTATGCCGAAACCACAAACTTAATCGAATCAGCCTAATTTTTATTAAGTATTCATGTGTTTGGGAGAATGCCAGCTAGCCAAAGGCGCCTGAAATAAATTCAATTAAGGTGGGTCTAATTCACAGTATTTATATCAAAGAGAATCTTGTATATAATATGGTATTTAAAGCTTTAATAATTTTTTTTTATTTGACCCGGGTAGACTCGTCGGTCTACCCCGGGTAACCCGTCGGTAACTCGGGCTATACTTTTTAGGATAGGTACAATCACTAGTCATTCGTTTTGACAAAAAACTTTATTTATCTCGAGAATTTACATAATAAGAATTCGCCTTTTATGCTCTAATTGAAAATTTTTATCGACTAATTTTCTAATTTCCGAACTCTAAATACGGCACTAACCCCAACTTTAACGAATTTAGGATGTTTGATGCTTATCACGTGACCCAAAAATACGTGGCCATTCCATTTACTTATTGACACAGGATTGTAAATCAGACACTGGGGTGTCTATCTTCGGTTTAATTACAAACATAGTGCAATACCATGCAATTATATGGTATATGCCTTCGAGTGCCTAACTGTAGCGCACGAAATTTTTTTTTAAATGTGCGCAATAAAAACAAATAGCACAGATAAATATATAATCCAATTAAAATGCCGCACTTCAAACCTAAAACGTATGAATTTTGAAATTTTTAATGTACGCGAAGCGCACATTTTTTTAATTTTAAAATGTGGAAAATTTATTTGATATGCGATCTGCCCCTTCCGCACATTAATTTTAGAACAGCGTGCAACGGTTAACCCGTGCAAATTTAGTTATTTTACAACCAATATAATAACTATAACGTACGTACGTACGTACGTTGTAAGGGGGAAAAGTCGTACAGGATCGACATCAAAGTACGTTCCTGGTATAATACTTACCCAATATGTTTGGTGTGCTTAGTTTGTAAGAAAGGCTTCGGATAAAAATTCGACTTTATAATAAATACATTTCACAAATTGCTGAGAAACTTCAATAGAATGCTAATTGCCAATATTCGTTATAAGTTCTAAATTACTATGTTCAAGAATTCCTTTTATTGATGTAACAACTGTCCCTTGATCACCTCCTCCATCAAGTATACCACACAGACTTATTGTGCGTAAATCCGGTGAATAAGAAATCACTGGAGCACCACTGTCACCTTCAATAAAGAACATATTTGTCATTAAAAAATGGGCTATATCTCCGTAATTCACATGATGCACATCTAATGATACTATGCATCCACAAGCTATAGCCAGATTTGCATAAATGGATGCCATTACAAGATGGAACTGTAGCATCTTTGATAAATAATTCGTTATATTTATTTGATTTTGTATTCTTTATAATTGCTGTTGGTTTGATATCATCATTTGTTATATTGATTAAGGCATATTCAAATGGTTCAGAAATTTCAAAAACTGTTTTACCAATTTTCCTTCTGTCATAAAAAAATTCCTCGCCAATTGAAGTGCAATGTTCTGCAATTACAAAGTGTGTTTGAGTTTGTTTTATTTTTTGCAAAAAACTTACTGTACAAATTCATTATCTTTATTATGTATTCCTTCTCCAAGTAACATTCTAAAATTTATAAGTGTATCTCTTTTTTGGGACATTAGAGCTTGTTGATCAGAGTCTTTCATAAAAATTATAAGCGGATTTAATGATTTAACTGCTCTTAAAAAATGTTTATTTTTACTCTTACTATCGATATGTATCATTATAACGATATTGTTTTGTGTTATAGCTAATTCTAATATTTGATTAAATTTTGCTTTTAAATTAGCCATGGGACTAGCGACCCTCTCTAAATAACAAAAGATCTACATATGGCTTTACATTAGGTAATAATTTTAAAGGCTCGACCTTAGAGGGGTCTACGGTATAGGTTATTAATTTGTTTTGTGTTGTGTCCACGAAAGTTCCACCAAAGCTTTCGTCATCCAGTAACGGCTTTATAATTTCATCTACCGTATCACATAAATTTTTCTCAATGCGAGTAGTTCATTATCATCTACATCCCATAATTCTGCCAAAGTTTCCTTAGCATAAATCATCATTAATTGATTTTTCAATGTTAAAATTATCAACAATAAATTTATCAAAAAGCAAATGTTTTTCAAAGCGACGGTGTGACGGATTTTCTTTTATTTTAACTATTATATTGTTTTGTGGTACAAAGAAATACTAACATATTGATAAATTTGCTAGTTGTTTGTTATATTGCCTTTTGGTCAAATATATATTTGTCTGGTCAATAAATTTGCTAGTCGTTAGTTATATGGACTTTTGGTCAAATATATATAAGCTAGTTTCAGATTATACGAGCTAATAGAATTCAAAAATGATACCAAACATCGAAGGCCTAGGCAAATATCGGGAAATTTTCGTTTAAAGGTTGAAAAAAATATATAAGTTAGTGGGAACGGAATTTAAATGGATTTGAAATTTCTTTAATTTTTGGATAATTGTTTTGTTTTTTTTTTTTTAAATGAGGCTTGGCCTCGGATTTTTGGATAATTGTTAATTGGGCTGGAGCGGAGGGGAGCGGAGTGGAAGACCTTTGAGCCATACTCATAGAGATTTTGCTGATGTCCGGCTCCCGCCCCTGTAAATGAGATTGGATTAAACAATCATGTCCCCTGTGAAAATTTAATTCATCAGAAATTCAATCATCATTAAAAAAATCATTAAAAAATAATAAATAAAACAGACGACTGACGACTGACAATTGACAATTAACAAAAATAATAACAAAAGTAATTAATAATTTATTGTATCGATGCAAAGCATAAA